GTTTCTGAATTTTCCTTCCACAGTAGGCTAAAATTTCGAATTTCATACTTTGAAAATGGCTGGCCTGAAAAGTTCCCCCATGAAAAGAGGGGAACTCCAGATGTTAAAAAGAAAGGTGTGCTAATATTATGAAGAAGCAGACAGACAGACAGAAATGGGGAAGCTGACCCGAAGGGGGAAACTCAAGGGATAGTGAGCACTCAGGGGCTGTGTCAGACTCTCCTAATTCCGGGACTCCTCTGGGCCTCCTGTGGGGCTCATGATATCGGATAGTTCTCCAAGGGCCACCAGGTGCCTGTCCTTCAGGTCCTCTGACTGCAGTTACCACAACCAAGGGAGGGGAGGGTGCACAGTGCAGGAGCATGCACTGAATTGTGCAGGTGCTCAGTGGGGTTGTGTGCGGTCAGCCAGCGTATCTTTGGAGGATTTGTGCGGCCTGATTGAGGAGCAGCCTGAAAAACATCATACCAGCTTTGCTGTTACTGAAAAGATGATGCACCAGGCAGATACACGTTTGAAAGAAAGAAATTAGGCAAAGCAGCAACTTTAGCACCGTCATATACATATCTATTCATATGTGAGTAATGGCATCAGTAACTTTAGCTGTCTTTTGGGAAATTACGCTCCTTTTATATTTTATTAGCTAATAATTTTCTGACAACTGAGTCATCAAATTACAATAAAGTAATAGTGAAATATTTTTAACAGTGAATATTTTAGCCAGTGTCTGACAATTATATACTCACTTCCTTCCATTGGAAAGATTATTTAGGTAAAAACAAGGAACATATCCACTGAAGAAAGAAATACAGGCATGTCTGTCACTCTAGAAGAACCTGAAAGCAAGGGGAAGTATAGAAGGAGAGATAAAATGGCTTAGAAAATAAAGAGTATTTCAGTACCATTACCTGCAGATATTCTGTATGTAGATTCTATTCCCCATTTTTGTTCTTAATGGCTTACAGCAAATCAAAGAAACCAGTTAGTTTTGAGAACAACTATTAAACTCAAAAGCATGAGTATATTGTCAATTATTAGGTACCTGAAAAATTTGAATTCTAGTGGCAGACAAACCAAAAAGGTAGGAAGTAGCATATCTAAATATTAATTTTGGCATATATTTCAGTTAGGTTGTTATTATTGCATACACTTATTCTTTTTGCTCATACTTATCCCATACAAAAAATCTTTTGCCATCGTTTCTGAAAAGGGTTTCAGGTCACATTGCTAATTCAAGTTCAGGGTTGGTTATTTGCACACATTATTAAACACTGGTCCTTATTAATCGAGTCATTTAAAAAAAAATTATTTCCTCAGTATATTTGTGCATGCTTTCAAATGTTCTAAAACCTAACAATTTTCCTTAGCTTCTAGATGTGTAATTCTTTAGTACACTGCAAAAAAAAATTAAATACTGTGACTATGGGTCAAAGAAGAAATTGGGGTTCTGTTCAGGGCCCTGCCGTTCAGTCAGCACATGACCTGCAGCCATGTTTTGGCACTCTTTCTCCAGTGGAAGGGCACCTCAGTTGGCACGGCGCTCACACCAGTGAGGCCGCCTCCCTGAGAAAGGGCCGCCATGCACCGACAAGCACGAACAAGGACTTTGGCCATTAATGTTTCTGCCCCGTGAACAAAAAGAAGTTCAGGGTTTGATTTGTTTGTTTGTTTTCTTTTCCAAAGCATGTTCTGATCTTTTGAGGACAAGTGCTGTACAAATACCAAATATGATGACATGCTTCCCATGTAAGCAAGTAAATAAGCTTAGTAATGATAGCCTTGGCCTTGTATGCCATTACTGTGGGCACTGTACAGTCATAACGAAGGACAGAAGTTGCTCTGCAATACAACAAAATTAAGGAAGGGGAGATCAAACAGACATAGCAAAAAGCTGATACCCAGGAATGGTGGGATTGGATTGGTGAGCCTGAAAAGCGCTCAACTTGGCACACTGGTTATCTTAACCACCATTGTAGTTGCCAATGACAAAAAGGACAATTTTGAGGTCAGATGAGGGGAGAGGTTAAAATTTAGCCCAGTGAATGTTCTCAGGGGCCTGCTTTCCATGCACATACAATGTCATTAGCAAAATCCAGGAGAATCAATAATGTTGCCACAGTCCATACTGGTGGTGAAGAAGTGGTTGGATCTTGCACTATGCTGCAAAATGCTGCAGCTAATGAAAGTCCAATGCCTTCTCTACCAAGATGATTATTTTGTATTAAAAGGGATTCCTCCATTGGCAGTGTAAGTGGCTGCCTCTTAAGAAGCTGATGGCGCTTTCCCTAATCTCTTTCCTTGATGAGCTGCCTGGAGAAGTGGAGTAACAGCAGAGCCAGCATAAAGCTTCTCCTAGGTCTTTACTCCATTCATTGTCACACTAGTTACTAATAAGTTAGTACAACCAGGTTTTGTGCATCTGAGCTATTACAGTGCGGCTCATGTGGTTTTATAGAGCTGCTAGGCCCCAAAAAGAATGACCTGATCAGCTCTTTTCTTTTACAGGAGTTCATAACTTTTGCATTTCCTTACCACCTCCACATGCAGGACATCAGTGAAATTAAACAAAATTGCAGACCTCCTAAAGGTCTATAGGGAGCTCAAGAAATTGTCCAGTGTTATTCATGGGTCAGTGCCCTTGAAATGGTGTGACTTTACAGTCTTTTAAAAAAATGTATTTACACTATCTTAAAACTGGAATCTAAACCTTCTTTTTTTTTTTTTGTAAGTGGAAAAAGCCACTAAGTAATCTATATAAATTCACTAAGACAATTTCGGCAGACTAATACTGTCTAGGTTCCAAATATATAAGGATTATTGAAACCCTGTATTGTGTAAAATTGAGGGGAACTGAAGGAACTATTCTCCTGTAAAGGATTTTAATAAGAGCTGTGATTGTCTTTTGTTATTTAGCTTGCTGTTGTGCCTGCAGGCCTTCCTAAACCTTTATTTTACAGACACGCTATAAAGAGGTATTATAGCTCACAGCCTTAGTTGTGACAGGATGAAACAGTTTGGTGAACATCGCTGATGGACCAGTGAAAAGAGTAACAGGAAACATCTGATACTGCAGCCTGTGTTGGAACCTGTTTACTCAATAGTTTAGTGTTCTCGTCAGAAAGGCTTGCTTTAGCGTGTGTGAAGGACTGTATATCTTTAATTTTCCTTTCTTTTAAAGGCTGTTTCTTTCATAGGAAGAGGTGGGAGAAGCCATGTGCAAAGAAGGGGGTGGCTGTTCTTCCCCAGGGACCACAGGGGAGCAGCCCTCGGGCTGTGAGGTGGGAGCACGGAGGGGAGCGGGGGAAACACAGCAAGGACCTGGAGCCCCATTCCTCAGCTGTGATGGCCAAAACTGTACTGGGGACTGGACATCTGTGCAGAGGTTGCCACAGCTCAGGAAATCAGGGAGTTTGTTGAAATCCACCAGGTGGTAAAGACTCATCCTTCAAGTGAGCAAGAGGAGCCTTGTACAGCCTTCGCCTTTCTTTCTGTTGGGCCTAGTCACTGGAGGTTGCTCAGTACTGCCTGACTTTTCTAAAGTTGAAATACCTTTTGGTCTTTCTTGGAAAATTCACTTTATGGAAGAGGTTCAGGCAAATTCACCTCAGCTCCAGTGTAATGAGTCTGGCTGGGGTGGAGTCAACAACATCTATTTGACTTGGAGTCCCACCACCACCTGTAGCAAACCAGAAGGCAGAGTAACATCTGCGCCAGAGACTCACATTTTCTTGCTTGAAACATAGCCAACGCTGAAACAAACCAAAAGCCTGGCATGCAACATGCATGTATACTTTCTAAAAGGATAAAACAGGTGGATGTGTTCACAATTTTCTGTCTTTTCCCCCTTTGTAGAGTTTCTAAATTGGATTGCTTGTGTGCTACTGCTGTTGTGGGGGGGCACTGCTTGTTTTCGCTTCATAACCCTGGTCGTGGTTGTCATGCAAGGCAAGGCAGCGCTGTAAGAGGCAAAGGGTGAAAGCTGAACAACTGCAACAGGAGGATATTTTTCAGACCTGATGGCTTTAAAGTTATTGGGGGATTTGAGTAATCTTTTTTATTTTAATTAATTAATTTTGTAGTGTTCTAGTGAAGATCAGTGGCTGACTGATGGTTTGGACAGAGGATGCTTTTGTTAGAAACATGTTTTCTTGGAAATAAAAACATACCAATGTTAAATATGTTTTGAGACACTGACACCCCGGCCCTTGACCGACATCAGCCCACAGTGTCCATGTGAGGTCTGATCCTCCTAAGTTCACACTGCCATTGATGGAGCCAAGGGGAAGCATGACTTTTAGCCACATTCAAAAGGCATTTATACGACTGGTGGTTGCTGCTAGGTGACCTGGACACTCTTTGGCTGTCCACCAGAGCCATGGCATCACTTACTATGCCATGTTTGCTATCAGTGGTCGGATGAGTTGCCGTATAGGCACACTGTTGCTCATCTTTCCTACTGCCTCAATAAAGCTTTGTTTTATAATGTGTTGTCAGACTTCATCACTGTTCAGACCACAGACACTCAGCAGATAATCTGGGAAAAAAAACAGGGCAGCATATTTAGCATCAGAAACACAGGGAAAATTTTTGGTGCCTGATGTGGCTTCTCCTCTCCCTATTTGATTTCCCGCTGCCATGTCTTGATCATCTTTGTGGTGAAGAGCTGTAGCTGCTCTTCCTAAATTGTAGCAGTAGAAAAAACAGTAGGACTGGGACATATTTGCTCCGTTTGACACCCTTCTTCACCTCCCGGCAGCAGCACTACTCATATTTGCTCTGTGAAGAATCAATAGTTTTAAAATAGAAATGAGGGAAGGAAGGAGAAAGAAGAAACCTTCTGAGGCCAGCTTCATCCATGATTTTCAAAAGCCTGTTTTATTTTTAGAATCTTTTTTTCTGGTGACATTATCACAGGAGTCCTTGTTGATGTCTATAAGTGTGTTTTAATATCATTGTAACTGACTTTACTCTGTTTTTGTTCATCTCCTCTTTTCTCCCAGTGGAGTTTTTATACTGTGATTTGGCTTCCATGAAGTCTATACGGCAATTTGTGCAGCGGTTTAGAGCAAAGAATTGTCCACTCCATGTCCTGGTGAATAATGGTGAGTTTTGGATTTTTCTTCACGTAACTGCAGGGGAAGATGAAACAAATGGGTTTCTTGTCTATCACTTCACATTTCAAATCAATTATCTGAACCATATGGCAGGTTACAATATGGCTCCATTAACCTGGATGTCTTTCTAGGAGTTAAATTGCATTTTTTTGAGATATAGACAGACTTCAGTGCCACACCTGCTCATGGTGTTATTACAAGGCTTGTTCCTTTGCTGTGTTTTTTAGCTCTCCAGCACTAAAAATCATGCCAATGCTCAAGAATCTGAACATCTCTAATTAAAAAAAAAAAAAAAAAAAAAAAAAGGAAAGGAAATCTGTACTTTATTCCTGTAGAAAACCTGTCCTTTCACCTTTATTTACTTTCTCTCCCTTTGTATTTTCCCTCTATGTACACATACATTTACTGTGGCTGGCTGACTGATGAGCTGGATTGGGGTGTAATCCATCTGAAATATAATCTAGCAAATTATCTAACGATCTCAGAGCAGTCACTCCTTAGATCAAGGTGCTGCTGGAAAGTTGTCCGTCAAGCTGTGTCCTCAGTGGTCAGAGAACAAATTAAAAGGACAACATTTATCTTGCATTCATACAATTATCAAATAAATCTAATTACTCTTAGGGATTTTAACTTTTGTTATTCACGTACTTGCTGTCTAATTATGTTTTATAGCCACAGTATTTTTGGAAGCCAGCCCATGCAATAATTTTCCTCCAAAAACCCTGCATGCTCTGCATGCACTTTCCTAAAGGGGAATTTTCACCTGTCTATTTAATGAGGGGAAAAACCCGCCAGCAACAATTTAGGCTTCTTTTAGAAATTTTCTGCTGTTATATGCTGTTGCTCTTGTTTTCCCAATTATTTACATATATTTTTATTAAGACATCCCGAAGAACATTTTCTATTTTCCTGTGCACCCTTCAGTCCTAGTGAGGGCAAACGTGCTGTAAATAAATGGGTTTGTTACATTTGTTGATGCCTTAAAGAGCTCTCAGTAACACAAGCAAATATTGCAATAAAAATTCAAGAGCATTGTATTTCCTGATTGATATGAAACATTCATGAAATGTTCAATTAAATGTTCATTTTTATTTGATTAGTCAGAAAAGCCTGCTTTTATTATTTTAATTGTGCAATAATTAAAGGTAGTGGATATTTAATCCTGGTTACAATATCTTTCCAGTTTTCCATGCCTACATTTAAAGATGCAGAGTACAAACTGTTACACAGATGAGAAAAACACTATTTAAAAAAACAGCATCTTGTGGAAAAAAGGGGTTTGACATCTACACACCCATCAGGCATCCCCTGCCCTTCACTGGTTTTCTGCACAGGCAAAGCCAGGACTGCAGTAGGGGCTTGGGTGCAGCTTGGTAGAGAAATGATGGGTCTGAAGCAACAGCACAGCTGGGAAGCCCTCTTGAAGAAAGGATTTTGTTCTGCCCTAGCTGCTGTTTAAGCAAGATGGATGAAAATTGCAGTTAAATATGTCAAGAAAGAAAGTTATATGAAAATAGATCTCCTATTGTGTCTAATATGATATGAGACCAAAGAGTGTAGGCCCAAAGCTTCTTTGAGGAAAGAAGATTGAGACTAATGTTTGCCTGAGTCAGTCTATATATTCATGACCTGCAAGAAGGGCATTTGATTTCAATTATGCTTGGTTACTAAATACAGTTTACCAGAGAAATCTGTTGGTTGGTTGAGAAAATCCTGTTAGAAACTACAATGAAAGGAATGGTCCAACTCTGCTTTTTGCTGAATCTTTAACAGAATCACAGAAGCAATCATGTCCAGAGCTGTTGTAAAGACTCCTGTACAGTTAGGTTAGTCACTGACCATTACCTGCCAAGTCACCAGCCTTCGCTTCTGAAAGCTCTTTCCTTTTTTTTTTTTTGGCTCTTGTAAATAATCTGTAGCATTTAGTTTTGTTACTGGTTTCATAGTGAAAGCCCAAGTAATTTCTTGGTAGACAAGAGGAAAATGAACATACCTAATGGAGAAGAAATGGCTTGATGCAAAAACCTTTGAACAGCTTCTCTTGGCTTTCCATCAGTGTTGAGCACGTCCAAGGCAAATGCTGACGTTTGAGCTAACTGGTAGGCTTTTCCTTTTCCCTTTCCCTTCCTCTTTCATTTTTTTGTCACTTTTTTCACTGTAATGCAATGCACTAAGGAGGAAGATTTAGTCCATTGTGGACTGCAGGCTTGGAGGCACTACTCACTCAAAAACTTCGTCACTGTGGCTAACTCCACCACCTTCACTGCATGATCCCCTGAACACAAGCTTGGGTGCCTGGAAGAGGACAGTGCTTGCAATATTTAAATATCTAATGGGAATGAGTTGTTGGACATGTTGTCAGTGAGTGCGTATGCTTTTTGTCAGAAAACTCTATTGTCAATGGGAAAACATGTTGCATGACCGTTAGATGTTTTGCAGGACATCTCATAATGACATGGTTGATTATTTTATGCCTTAGTGTATGCATCTAGAATGATTGATAGATTTCTTAGTATCACCCGCTACTTTCTTACTTCTTACACATCTTGAAACTCTAGCATTCTTGATACGAAGAGGTAGATTTATTTGGTAGAATATGGAGAAGAGTCTGTGAGCCAGGGCATCTGCACAATGAATTTGTAGGCAGTCATATGGGTGTAAAGAGTGTGGTCCACAGTCTCTTGGGGCTAATGGAAAGTCTCCATGAGGTTTTGAAAATAAGATTTTGTGGGGGTCCCATCATTTCTGAATCAGAGCATCAGCAACCTAATAAAAATTTTCATCTCTATCTTCGTAGGACCAAGCATTTTATTATCAAGGAGTGTGTCCCTTTTTTACACTTAATGTAAAAATGCCAAGAATTGTTACATCACATTTTTGACAGTGTAAATTAGAGTTATTTAATTTCTTTAAATCAAAATATTTTTTAATTGGTTGATATAATCATGTCTATATGTTAGTGATCTTTCCATATCTTATCTCCATGAGTATGTATGCTGTATGTCTGTGAAGGCATATGGTATTTGTTGTGAGCTGGTGTGAATCAAACCCCCGAATGTTTCAAGATGAATTGAGGGACGTTCTAACTTTATACAGTAATGCAAGTAATGCAAACTATGAAATTAACATTGAAATATTATTAAAGACAAGTGATTTGGCATGAATTACTGTGCTAGGTAAATAATCAATACTGCATGTCTGAACTAAGATCATTATGAAATTCAGCAGTTTTCCAGGTCACTGGTAATTTTCTAAGAAAATGTATCTCCATCACTTGCCTAGGATCTAGTTGGAAATTAAATTAATACTAAAATCCTGAGTTTAAAAGTATTCTCCTAGAGCTAGACATGCAAGTCTCAGAAAAATTTCAGTAAGGTTTAGATATCAAACTAATCCAGGGACTTTGAGAAGTCTTACGTGGACATTTAGGGGGTTCAAAGTGGAGATTAGTGCACTAGAGTCACCTCCTCTCTTTTTGTTATAGCTGATTTTAGCATATACATTTAACTTTCTAATTTCTAATTTAAAAGGAAAAATTTGGTTGAATGCACACATTATTTCAGTGGACAAATAAGGGCCTGTTATTCCATTACTATGCTTTCTGCATCGGTAATGTGCATGCTCAGCTCTTGGTTTTTAAAATAAACAAAACATATTAAAGATGCAAATAGAGTATTACATAAACATTTTTTAAAAAAACCTATAATGTGCTAGTGCTGAAAAGGGAAAATGCTATGACACAGAAAACAAATTCATTTTCTGGGAAAAAAAAAAAAAAGCTAAATCACTGACCTATGAGCCACAGAAAGATGGATGCAGTACAAGCGGTCGAGAGAACTTTATCTGACAGAAGGTCAGAAGAACATGTCTCTACTCCACTAATTAGCAATTGAGTGCCAACTTTTTGGGTTTTGTTTTTGAAAAGAACTGTGTCTTTGTACAGTTGAAAAGCATTTAGCAAATTACAGCATGTACACTAGTGCAATTATTTAATACATTCATTGAAATGGTATTGCTGTTAAGACACAGTGGAAAGTCTGCTATCTTCCTGAGGTTGCAAAAGGGACAGATAGTAAAACTCTTCATAAAATTGCACGAGCACAAGTCACTGTTTCATGCCAGAGAGGTTTTTTCTAACTTGAAGTCAGTTATTTTCTCCATGGGCTAGAAATGTATCTCAGCACCTTGTAGTTAATGTTTTTACCCATACATTGTTTAAAGTACTTAATAATCTTAAAACCAGGAGAGCAAACACCAAAATCACAGTATCTTTAGTGATACAGACTACCTACAGATACCAAACATGCACTAACTCATGTCTAACTCATTAACAATGAAATGCTGACTAACTTCTCTGATACAGTTCAGAGAATGGTTTCTGATTTTGGCTACAGGTTAGGAAAGGAAAGGGAAAAAACAGAAGACATTTAGTATGTTCCTTGGCATGCACACAAACACAAAAAAAGAATTTAGAGATTTGAGAATATTATTAGCCTATTGTAGACAGATTACAGTTAATATATTTCAGCTTGTAGCCTATCTAAGCCAATTTTAAATCAATATTTCTGAACTGCTAATTCAGACGTTCATATTTTGTACTTTGTGGATCATCTGAGAAACTTAGTCTCTTGATAAAATGAGTAAATCTCTATAAGCTTCCCTCTTTAGTTCCTAAGGAACAATAAAAAGCTGTATCAGTGGGTAACCATGTGAAATATACATATTGCTTTGTGCTGCCTACACACAGATCAGCAGTCTACAGTCCAGCCATAATCTTTGTAGGGAGTCATTTGAGTAGTCCTATGGATACTACCATGGTTGATCACATATTAAGTTATTCTTGTATTTGAATAATTGCAGCATCAGATCTTCAGAAGTGTGAGACTGGAAGAGTGGGAACAAGTGGATATATCAAATGCAAACAACTTTATAGATACCTACCTATTCACAGGTTTTATGGATTAGGTAGGTTTAACAATAGTTACTTA